CAACACTCCCTTACGTGTTTCACTCCACTCTCTCACAGAATGGCACTCAACGCTCGTGTTTTGCACACTATAGAACTTGGCTTTTCTCTCAAGTATTGCTCACACCTCTTGCCTTTTTCCCTCACTCAACTTTCCTCTTCCAGTTTGTTATTGAACTAAACAAGCTCAATTCAAGTTATTTTGCAACAATCTAACTCCAACAAATCTGCAAGAGTTAAAGGAAACAGAAAGACACAAAGGAACGACTAAGAAAAGCAATAAAAGAACCAACCCAAACAAATTAAAATGAACAGATCAGTTCAAGCACTTCCTAGTAGGAATTGACTTGACTATTCCTTAATGTAGCAGGATTCCTAAAGTAGGAAGGAATTAAACAAAATTGCTATCTCCTTGTTTGAATAGAATTCAATGAAAATTTTCCAACTCCTTATTCTAGTGGGATTTCTATTCTTTAATGTAGTAGGATTCCTAACTTAGGAAGGAATAAACAAAATTGCTATTTCCTTGTTTCAACAGAATTCAAAGAAAATTTCCAACTCCTTATTGTAGTAGAATTCCTTCTTCCAACTTTTTACTGTAGTAGGATTCCTTCTTCTTTAAGGATTTGGCCACCAATTTCTTCTCTATATTAAGAATTCCAACAACAGAATTGTGTTGCTTATTTCTCTGCGATTCTTCCTTTTGTTTTTGTTTTTTTCTACAACTTCTCTCCTCTGATTTTTTTTTTTCGTGCTTTTCTCTCTTGGATTTTTTTTTTTCTCTTCAGAACCAGCAACACAAATTCAACATAACAAGATGAAAAGAGTTGCAGACAAGAAAGAAAAGAACCCTAATTTTTTTTTTTCATGTAAAAACTGAAAACTAAAGATACGCAAACCTGATTTAGAGATCTGATGCTCTGATACCAAGATGATGAGAACCCCAAAGAGAACAATGAGACCCACAGCACAACAAGGGATTTCTAAACTCCAGGAGAGCTAAATCAGGTTTATAATAGGACCTTGACCCGTTGCTTATGTCGCAACAAGAACCAAAGGTAAAAACCTTGACCCACGCAACAAGAACCAAAGGTATAAAGTTGGTTGACGCCACACCCTTGAACGATTAAGAACAAGAATGATAAGTCAGGTTAGAACACCACAAGAATAACCTTGATAAGTTCTGTAAAGTTCTGAAACGAACCAAAAAGAAAAGTCTCTCAAAAACTCAGATTCAATA